CAGAGTTTTCGACTAATATATGAGAACATACGAACTGAAAGTACTAATTTGGGAACTGAGCTCTTTGTTCGTTTGTCGAATCAAATTCCCCAAGTTGCTTGTTTATTTGACTTGAGTTTCTTAACACGAAATTAGGTTTCATTTTCTTAAGCAATTTCTTCTTTTTGGCTTAGGCGTCACTTAGCGTAACAAGATAGCGTAACAGGGAATTTTCAAATAATTTTCGCCCTCTCCCGGGTGGGTTTACTGTTTTTACAAGCTTCTGGTAATGAAAAAGCGTGTTCTGTTTTCTTTTTTTCTATGTTTTTTGTTCTTTTTTGTTTCGTTTTACTGTTTTGTTTTTGTTTCTTCGTTTACTTTTTATTACGGGGAAACCTCGGCTATTAGTACCTCCTTCTTCAGGGACCTCTAACTTCTGTGACCACACACACACAGAGACACCCACACATACACACACACACACACACACACACGCACACGCATATATATACAGGGTGTTCATAAAGTTCGTGGGCACTTTTAATAATTTCTAACTTACGAACTTTATAGACACCCTGTACATATATTAAGACATGTCTCATTAAATAATTTAGACAAATTGTGTCTACTTATTTTTAAAAAGACATATCTTATTGCAAATATACGCTTCAATGCTTAAATATACGCAATATTATATATATATATATATATATAATTATATATAATGGGAGTACTATCGTCCGGTTCATGCGCCTCCCCGTTCTTTTGAACAGGGTTAGAGGTCCATCCTTTACTTCCTGTTTAGGATTGGGTCTCCAGTTCCTTCAACCCTGTACATCTGTCGTCACCGCCTAAAATCTGAAATTTTACTCAATGATTATTATTTATTTCCTCACCGAATGGGAGTAGATAGGTTCGCTTATCATCCAATTCACGCCCCTCCTCGGTCAAGAGTAGAGATTTATCCCTTATTTCCGGTTTAGTATTGGATTTCCGGTTTCTTCTAAAGTCTTTTTCAACTCTGTACTTCTAACGTCTCCGACTATGAAATTTTTTTCATTATATATTTATTTTTCCTCAATAAGACATATCTCATTAAATAATTTAGTCAAGTTTTGTCTACTTATTTTTAATACTTATTTTGTCTAAATTATTTAGAGACATGTCTTAATGAAAACAGGCTGCCAAAATATACGCAACACACACACACACACACACACACACACACATATATATATATATATATATATATATATATATATATATATATATATATATATTAGAGACATTATGTCTGCTTATTTTTAATAAAATCCGTTCATACTCACAGATAACCTGTGTATTGCAATTAAATGATGTGAGAAATGGGCTATAACTATGAAAATCGTTTTTATTTTCATTTTCCCCAAGTACTTTCGATCTTCTTCCAAGATCATCTTCAGGGGTGTACGTAGTAATACAAAACTGTGTGTTGTTCACGGATGCTAGTAATACAAAAATGTTTTTTTAATATTCATTACTGTCATTTTTCTTTCTGTTTTCAAATGCAACGGTTGATAGTCATGCTTAGCGTTCATTAGTTTGTATTACTACGTACACTACTGAAGATGATCTTGGAAGAAGATCGAAAGTGCTTGAGAAATGGATAATAAAAACGATTTTCATAGTTATAGCACATTTCTCACATCATTTAATTGCAATACATGGGAGGTTATTCGTGAGTATGAATGGATTTTATTAAAAATAAGCAGATGTCTCTAATTTATTTAATTAGACAGGCCTAAAAGAGAATTTGCTGCCTAAACACACACACACACACATACATTTGTATAGGCGAACCTAACTACTGAAATTATATATATATATATATATATATATATATATATATATATATATAGATAGATAGATAGATAGATAGATAGATAGATAGATTTATATGTAATTTGAGTAGTTAGGTTTGCCTATTGTCTGGTTCACACTCCTCTACGGTTTTTTCAAAAGGATTAAATGTTTATAACTTGTTTCTTGTTTAGGCTTGGGGTTCCGATACCTTCTAAAGTATTTTCATGTTTATTTCACTCCCACTAGCCCCTTTTAAATGGCATTATTTCCTTACTTGGAATGAATTGCGTTTTTTAAAATAAAAATAAAAAATAAATAAATAAAAATATATATAATGGCCGGCTACTCGTTTCTTGAGCATGTCCGTCTGTTAGAGGGGCGGTAGCTATTCCCTTTAATCTCCTGTCCCGATACATGTGCGTGGTTACTGCTGACCCCAGTTAAGGTTCTTGGAAGGGATCGCACAATCTTCAGTTTGAACAATGCCGGTACACTCACACCATCGTTCACGATGACCTATGACTCTCCGCTGACACAGGCATCGACGGCTACCAAACATTTCCGTAAACCCAATTTCAATCACAAGGCTTGGGTCAACTCGTCGTATGATTTTCATACACTCTAAAAGAGGGGCTCCTTGCTTTCTCTTAAAAAGAGAATCCGTCGCGCCCTCGCAAGAAGATCAAGCGTCCGAAGAAGGACCCGTAATAACGCCTTTTAAGCGTCTAACATTCACTTCTCTCGAATCACAGATGGATTATACCGAGGGCTCGTTTTTACCGTGAAACTTTTCACCATCATCACCAGGTCGAGCAAGATCGGCATTACCTGACACGCTGGTTCCATCAATTCCGGTCATTCGTTGAATTTGGAAGTTCATCCAGTCTGCGCCCCGTGTCTTCAGTCAGATGACCAATGTACATCTTCATTGGTTGACATTGTGTTCTTTGTCCATGGCATGGTATCCAGAGTAGAACGTCTTCAGCTACTTCTTTGCTACGCAAACAGGGACCATCATGTCTTAGCCTTTGTTGGCGTATTAATTTGCTGATGGGAGGTATGTTACCATGAGAGACAGAACTAATTTCAACTCGGAACCTCAAAAGGGTAATTTGCAGTTCAAGCCCCGCGCTCAGTTTCTAATAAAAATTTCCAGAATAGTTCCATTTTGGTGTAAATGTGCATGCTTAAATCGAAAATAACAAAGAAATTTTGATAAAATCTACCGTTTTGGAGTTAATGACAATAAAAGTTCGGACTCGTTCGCGTCGTGGTGGATGAAGCTGAAATTAATTCTGCATCCCGTTACCATAGAGGTCTTTCTTTGTTGGATCATTTTCCAGGATTTGTTTATTACTGCTCGAAGCATTCGTGTGTAAGCACCATCTAACATCTTTTTCAGTTTGGTTGTTAATGTCCAGGTTAAGGATCTATATACAAGGACGCACTCTACTGTACCTCTGAAAAGGTTTCTCTTTCGGGAGATTTGATTTCCAGATTTTGCTTATTTCATTGAGCGCTCCCCAGACTTTTCACAGTCTGATGTTAAGGCAATATAGCTAGCCAGGTATTTGAAGTCGTCGTAAAAACGTAATATATAGTAATGGTAAAAGTAATATTCCTTATAAGGAAACATTCGGCATTCATTGACCGAGCAGCCAGTGCTGTTGGTGGTTAAAATTTATACAGTCTTTCTCTTAAAACAATTTTCAGAAAAATACGTTTCTCAAGTCCAGTAGCTGTTGTTGCTCTTTCCCGTATTGATGGGGGTTTCTATCCTCGTCTTTTGTTTGGGGAGGTATTGTGGAACTTGATTATGTCATTAATCTCTCTTCGATTTACATATTGGGCTACACATTTTAATTGTTGTTGCTTTTGAAAGTCTTTAGGTGATGTGGCTTCTGTTATCTGGTACAGTTCTTTGTGAGTCTGTGACACCAATTTACGAGGCTGGAAGAAGGACGGCTTCACTGGAGACTACACGCTTTACTCGTTCGAAGCCATTTTTGGCTATCGATATGAGAAAGCTGCCAGTTTAGAGATTTGTGAACGAGTTTGGTACCATGCATGGCATCAATAGGAAAATTTCGATCTGACGAAGCTATTTAAGAACATGAGTTCTTACTTTGAGGTTTGGTTTTTGTACCACCTTCAGGTGTTAAAGGAAAAGAAAGCCTATAACAGCTACGTTCAATTTCTTTATTTCCTATACTAAATTTGTTTTAACTGATCCATGCACTGAGGTATTTGAAGTGTTTATTATTTACTAATGTCCCACCGTGAATTTGATGTTTACATAGATAGATAGATAGATAGAGAGAGAGAGAGATAGATAGATAGATAGATAGATAGATAATGAACAGACTGAGATAGATAGATAGATAGTGTTATGGGGTCCACCCCTTCTTCATACAAGTGGACTCTACCAGTGTGTACTTGGACTGCTGCCGTTAAATACCCAGAGTCAGTCAGAGTAGAAAGAACAGTGACTGTGATTTGAGTTGGAGGTAGAGTAATAGTGTGAGGTAATCGCTTGTAGAAGTCACAGTTACAAGCACGTAGACTCTAAGGAAGTCCTACTTCGAGACTGGATTTACCAAACTGTATATATATATTATTATTGTTACTAACCACGTTTCTGGATCTACTAACCGTATTACCAATTGTATTATTGTGTAAATACATTTATTTGTTATATTTCATTCCTGTGTTTGTCATTCATTGGAGACCGAATTTCATCTCGGAATCCACAACAGATAGATAGATAGATAGATAGATAGATAGATAGATAATTTTGGATTGGATTTTTTATTAATCCGACTGATTTTTATCCCTTTAAATGTCATTTTTAATGGACCCTTGTATCTCAGTAGGTGTTCCGTTTGTTTATTAAACAGTATATTTATTTTCATCTACCAGCCTTAATATTCCTGAAATCTTATTAAAGAAAAATTTCGGGAGATCTCTGGCCTTGCCTGACCGACTGTTTTTCGTAGCTCTGTTGTTTAGTGCGTGCTGGGTCTAACGGTAGGCCCCTCTGCCCTGGGGGGGGGGGATCTACGCAGACTCCCATCCTGCCGGAGAGCGCAAATTTTCTTTAATAAGATTTCTCGAACATTTAGGCCGGTAGACGAAAATAAAAATACTGTTTAATAAACAAATGGAACGTCTACTGAAATATGAGTATCCACTAAAAATAATAGACATACATACAGACAGACAGATAGGCATGCTTTATTAAATAAGATAAACAGAACATCTATTGAAATTTTTGGTTAGTTGCTTTATCTCGGGTAGAAAACTGTAAAGGAACTTTTCTATCTATCTATCTATCTATCTCAGTCTGGTCATAGATAGCTATCTGTCACAATCTATTCATATATATTTATCTCTCTCAGTTCATATATATCTGTTTACCTATTTCAGTCTACTCATATCTATCTATCTCAGTCTGTTCATAGCTATCTATTCATCTCTCTCAGTCTATTCATAGCTATCTATCTATCTATCCCTCTAAGTCTGTTCATAGCTATCTCTCTGTCTATTAGTAGCTATCTAACTCTCAATCTTTTCATAGCTATCTAACTCTCTCAGTCTGTTCATAGCTACCTAAATCTCTCAGTCTGTCCATAGCTATCTATGTCAGTGTATTCATATATATCTATCGATCTCAGTCTACTCATATCTATCTATTTCAGTCTGTTCATAGCTGTCTATCACAGACTATTCATATATATCTGTCTGTCTATCTCAGTCTACTCATATATATACCTATCTCAGTCTGTTCATAGCTATCTATCTCAGTGCATTCATATATATCTGTCGATCTACCTCAGTCTAATATCTATCTTAGTCTAATATTCATCTATCTACCTCAGTCTAATATTTATCTATCTCAGTCTAATATTTATCTATATATCTATATATCTTTCTATCTATCTATCTGAGTCTAATCTGATTTCAATATTTAGTTATCTATCTATCTATCTGAGTCTAATATTTAGTTATCTATCTATCTATCTATCTATCTATCTATCTATCTATCTATCTATCTATCTATCTATCTTTCTCAGTCTATTCATGTCTATCTGTTTACCTATCAAGTTCTAAGGAACTTGTCAAAATAAATTAATAGAATCCGGGTACTTTCGATTAACATCGGACGTTTTCACGATATAGATTTATGGTTTTATCGTTCATTGGTGGATATACTTATTATACCTAGAAATTTTAATATATATAATATGCTAAATATATTTGGGGCTAAACACGTTCATAGTGTAGCCTTCACATAGTTACGTGGATAAATAATGTAGAAGTATACATTCTCATATACACGTAGATAAATAAAATACTGGAGACAAAAATGGGCAGCTATTTCCACTTAGGCATATAGTCACATGATACTATAGTAAAATCGATCACGATTTACCCCCCCCCCAAAAAGAACCCACATACTACGGACCTCGAGAGGCGAACATTACAATTTTAGTAGTACTAGAAATTTTTTTTTTTTTTTGCAACACACGTCGGCGTGTGGAAATCCTCACAGTACTTGGCATTTTTTGTCGAGATTTAAAACCTCTGCGTTTCGCTCAATTTCGTAAACCAATCGATGAAATTTGAATAAGTTGATTTGTTTGGAAAAATACTTTGACAAAAACCATGCTTGGCGGTTTAATAATTTCTTTAATTTAATTTAATTTAATTTTATAGAACTCCATGATAAACAATATCTTTTTAAGAAAATTTCTTTTTTTTTTCTTTTTTAACTGTAAAGAATAAATTCTTAGGATTTCTTACTCTTGAGCATGCAGCATTACAACTGACCATGCGTAAATATTTCTTTCTGGAGCCAAATTGCAACTTTTTGGAGCGTTTGCCCTTGTGGTTTGTTTATAGTTCTCGCAAACGCGATTTTGAAATTAGATTTTAGCATATATACATAAAACTTAAAGAACAAATATGCAAAACAATATTTTATTTTTATTAAATAACTACTTATTTTAATCATTAAATTATTTTTTTAATAAAGTGGAAGTATTTTGTATGTTAAATAATAAAACTTTTAAGTTTTGGAAAAAAATTAATGAAAATTTAGTGTACTAATCTACACACCCGAGTAAAACCAATTGTTGTTTGTACTAACTTACATATCTCCACTTCTCCCCAAAATATGGTTTCGATTGGTCGGATCTTTTCTGTTAATTTACCCCAAATATTAATTCGGCCCATAATAAAAATAATTTATATTTACTAAAATTCACACCGAATTCTCCCAGAGCGACGTCCTTCTATTGCACTCCAGTTAAGATGACCTTTGCGATCGCCCCAAATGTGGGCGACTCGGGTGCGCTAATTCTAAGTGTGGTGTCTCCGATCGCGCTTATCCCGATAAACAAGCCAAAAACAGATTTTTTTTTTTTTTTTCATTTTTTTTTAATTGTAAGTACTTCTTTGTAAGTACTTCGAATATCCTCCATACTTACGAAAGATGAATAACTTCCTGATTTTTGGTAATTTTTCATTCTCAGTGTTGGAGTTGTTGCGAGGCAAGTTAAACTAATTTTGATTTAAAATTTATAATTTCGAAAGAGTGCCAAAAATTTTATAAAAAGAATCAAACTTTATTTTAAAATTTATAATTTCATTGAATGAATTAATATTTACGATAAGTACATTTACAAATTAACCTAACTGGTCTAAAAATGTAAATTTAAATTTGACAAATGCAACAAAAATAAATAAATATACATCAACACTGCATCATGGAAAAAGCGATTCCGACGACTTGCAATTCGAACTTCATGTCACTCTTGCTAACCTCGAAGCAGTGGTCATTTAGGGAAAAGTCTGTGGCTGACTTTGAAAATTTAGGGTCAATTAACAGAAAAGATTCGATCGGTCAATGTATGGCTAGTTGAGAGGGTGTAACAGACGGACGGAAGTCACAGAATTTTATATATAGAAGGCAGGACTTAATTTTGGTGAATAATTACTTTCTTCTTACACCGCCCTCTCCCCCTCTCTTTCTCTCTCTCTCTCTCTCTCTCTCTCTCTCTCTTTTGTCTCTCTCTCTCTGTGCCTCTCTCTGTCTCTGTCTCTTTTTTCTGTCTCTCAGTCTCTGCCTCTCTTTCTCTCTCTTTGTCTCTCTCTCTCTCTCTGTCGCTCTCTGTGTCTCTCGCTATCTCTCTCTTTCTCTGTCTCTCTTTCTCTCTCTCAGTCTCTGTCTCTCTTTCTCTCTCTCTTTCTCTCTCTCTCTCTCTCTCTCTGTCGCACTCTGTGCCTCTCTCTGTCTCTGTCTCTCTTTTTCTGTCTCTCTTTTTCTGTCTCTCAGTCTCTGTCTCTCTTTCTCTCTCTTTGTCTCTTTCTCTGTCGCTCTATGTGTCTCTCGCTGTCTCTCTCTCTCTCTGTCTTTTTCTGTCTGTCTCTCTTTATCTCTGTCTCTCTCTCTCTCAGTCTCTGTCTTTCTTTCTCTCTCTCTCTGTCTCTGTCTCTGTCTCTCTTTCTTTTTCTCTTTCTCCCTCTATCTATTTCTCCCTAACCTAATATCACTAATTTCAACCTTTCCTTATCTGAGACCAATTGTTGCATCGGGTCCTCGTTAAAATTGTTTTTCATTGTCTCTCTATTGCAACTTCTTCATATCATGTCCTAATTTCAGTCTTTTTATTTTTTAGGCTAAAACAGTTTCATAGTCTGCCAATTTGAATCATTCTTTGACCGTGGGTAACAGTTGCATTGCGACTATATGTCAACATTTTCCTCCCCGAGGGTGTTGCATCGTGTCCCAATAGAAAACCTTTTGGTATTTGAAGTTTGCAGCTGAATTGAGTCTCAATTCCATTCGTTCGCCATTTCAACCTATTTCCCATCTATACGTCGGTTCACCTCAATTTTTACATTTACTCTTAAAAATTCCCTTTATACACGATTACTTTTAGATGTTTAGGCTGCTTTGTTGCTCAGTTGAATTAAATCCTACAAATATCTCGTTGATTTGACTCAGGTTCGTATAATTTTTTAGCGTCTCGGCATTAAATTTCGTTACGTTATCTCGAAATAAACAATTTCGTATTTTTAATGTCGCAAAATGAGAAAGTTAATGAGGCGGAAATTTTCAAATAACTTTCGTCCTTTCCATTGTGTTAGGTTCCTGAAAGGAAATATTATCTTTATTTCACGCTTTTTTTTTTTTTTTTTTTACTATTTACATTTTTTATCGAAGCGATTTCTGCTGAGAATGTCTTCGGACTACAAATTTGAGGAAAGAAATTCAAAACAAATAAATAGCTTACAGAGAGTTTGAAACTCTTCTTTTTTTTTTCTTTTATTAAAGTTCACTCAATACAACGCTCAAGGGCCACTTAAGGTAGATTGTTACGCAATGATGTTTGTGATATGAATGTAGGCAGCAAAGATTATGAGGATAAGGAGAACAGATAAAGATTGACCCTTGATTTGAAGACGTTAAGATTGTAGTGTTCAGGAAAGACGAGTTTGTTTCACAAAGTATCTGTTCTTAGGAAAACGCCGTCTGAGCATTTTTTTCTCGCCAGAATCTATCTTACGTATTTATAAGCCTATCATTAATTCTTGCCTTAAATATTACTGCCACATTAGGTCTGGTGCTCCTGCTATATACTTAGAGATTCTTGATGAAATCCAAAGAAGAATCCGCAATAGATCCTGACCTGGCATCTCGGCTTCAGTCACTTTCACTCCGCCGTAACGTGGCTTCCCTCTGCCTTTTTCTATAAATACTTTCATTGTAATTGTTCTGATGAAGTTCCCTCTATGGTAACTAGACTTTATGAATTTAAGCGCAGTACTAGATTAGCGACTAGGTCTCATCATTTTACAGTTGAAGTGTCTAGATGTAACCGTAAGTTCTATGCTAGCTGTTCCTTCTATCGTACTTCTCGCCTGTGGAACTCACTTCCGGGTTCTTGCTTCCCAGTCAACTTTGATCTTCAAAAATTTATATGCAGTGTCACTGGTTATCTTCTGTCTTCTTAATTCGCGTTCTTTTATTGTCCTTTATCCTTAATAGTATATTTTTCTCATATTCTCTAACATTCTGTAAACTCATGCATCTTAGTGGCTTTATTGCCTTACCTGTGTTGAAATGATTTTTAAAAAGTCTAGCTTTCTTCTTTATTTGGAATATGGGGGAAATAAGGAACATTCAACTCTGGGGATGAAGCATGGCGTTTTTATCTGTGGGAAATACACTGCAGAGAGGGAAATTTGTCATCTCTTAAAGAGAATTTTGAAGTCTATCAAGGCTGGTAAGTGAAGATTGATCTGGTCCAACCCAAATATGACAGCAATATTCCATTTCCGATTCTTGTAAGTATAAATCCTGACAGGAGTCAGCTACTTTCTCGATCTTTAGAGCGAGCCAGCCTTTTTCCCAGCCTATTTAGCAATGGATCAAATATATGAATTCCACTGAAGGTCTGGCGTAAACTTGAGTCCTAATAAACTTTCAGACCGTGGAACCTCATTGAGAAAACAACCGTTCATCATGACTGAGGAAAAACCCAGAGTGTAACCGGTGGTGATGAATAAATAGCTTCAAGCGTGTCTTGATCTCTAAGCAAGACAATAAAGCCACTAAGGTACAAGGAGTTACTGAGTGTGAAATAATATGAGAAAAAACATTATTAAATCAAGAGAAGAATAAAAGAACGGGAATTAAGAAGACAGAAGATAACGATTGAAATTGCAGTTCCATTTTTGAAGATCACAGTTGACTTTGGAAGCAAGAAGTCGGAAGAGAGCTTCACAAACGAGAAATGTGTGAGAAGGAACTATTAGCGTAGAACTTACGGTTGCATTTAGCCAAATCGACTATAAATTGATGAGAACTTGTTGCCAATCTAATACCGCGCTTAAATTCATAAAGTCTAGGTACCATAGAGGAAAGTTCATCGGAACAATTACCATGAAAGAATTTATAGAAAAAGGCAGATGGAAACTACATCACAGAGATAGGAAAGTGACTGAAGTCGCGTTGTCAGGTCAGGACCATTAATATTGCGGATTGTTTTTTGGATTTTATCAAGACTCTCTAAATATATAGCAGGGATATCAGACCATATGTGGCAGCAATATTCCAAGTATGGAAGATTAGTAGATTTATAAATATTTAAGATAGATTAGAGAGGAAAAATGTCTAGCACGATACAATAAACTAACTTTCTGAGCAACAAAGTTAGCGATTGATCCAATATAATCTTTCCCTATCATGTCAACAGAAAAGGTTATCACCAGAAGACAGTTTCCTGGGTGTTAGCATCAGCCATGCTGAAGGAAGGCAGAAAGGAGTCTCGTAGAGTATTAACAGAGAGCAATTTCGTTTTGGAGACGGCAAGATTAACAAGCCATTCTTTGCCCCAGATTGGGGCGCACTTTGAATTTTAGAAAGGAAAAATTAGTCATGAAATTTGAAAATATTAAATTTTTGTTTAGCATTACCAAAGAAAATATAGTTTTCAATTAAAGGGATTTATGATAAATCTGATTATTATTTGTTTGTTTTTTGTGTGTTTTTTTTTGTTCTGTATTTGTTTTTTTGTTTTGTTTTTTTTTTTTTTTTTGAGAGACTAATAATGACTGATTTAAATCCGCTGAATAAGGGTAAAGGGAAATGATTATCCATTCCTTCTTAAACGTTAATGAATTTAGCATCCACTTTAAAAATCAAATGACAAAGAATTGAGTTAGACATGGACGCCATATGCATAATGTTTCTATCTTTTAAAAAATAAATACATTTTAAATATAAAATTTCATGAATTACTTTCTGTTAACACGGGGTGCATTTGACTGTCATTGAGGGCGCATTAGTACGCACGAGTGCACCGGTTGAGGAACGGTTACCCAAAGATCCAATATGTTTGAACTTCAACTATACTGAGTAGACCTTAGTGACATTGTCAAAGAGAAACCGCATGATCTGGTGTGATCAACAGGTTAAACAATATCAGTACGCTGAAAAACTAGGCCACAATGCCGGCGACACAATTTTACCCACAATGTTTAAGTCAACTGGTTCTATGATTCTCAACTACTTCCCAACGCTGAAAACCTCCGTCAGAATTCCGACTACCCAATTTCACCCACAATGATTAAGTCAGCCTGTGCTATGATTTGAAAACCTCGGTTACAATTCCAGCTGTAAAATTTCACCCGCAATGCTTAAGTCAAACTATGCTATGATTTTAAAATATTCCCAACGCTGAAACACTGGGTCATAATTCCGGCTACACAATTTCACTCACAATGCTTAAGACAGGCTATGCTACGATTTTTAACTAGATCCTAACACTGAAATAATCAGTCACAATTCCGGCTAAAGAAATTCTCTCAAAATGCTAAAGTCAACCGGTGCTATGATTTTCAACTAAACCCTAACATTGAAACCTCAGCCTCAATTCACGCAAACCAATTTCACCCACAATGCTTAACTCAACCAGTGCAACGATTTTCAACTATTCCCAACGCTGAAACATTCGGTCACAATTGCGGCTATCCAATTTCACCCACAATGCTTAATTCAACCTGTACTACGATAGTCAATTATTCCCAACGCTGAAACCCTCGGTCACAAATCCGGCAACAGAATTTCCCCCACAATGCTTAACTCAAACAGTGCTACGATTTTCAACTATTCCCAGCGCTGAAAACCTCGGTTACAATTCCGCTAACCCAATTTCACCCACAATGCTTAAATTAACCAGTGGTACGATTTTCATTATTCCCATCGCTGAAACCCTCCGTCACAATTCCGGCTACACAATTTCACCCACAATGCTTAACTCAAGTAGTGCTACGATTTTCAACTATTTCCACCGGTGGAAACCTCGGTCACAATTCCGCAACCCAATTTCGCCCACTATGCTTTACTCAACCAGCGCTACGGTTTTTGGCTATTCCTAACGCTGAAACACTAGGTCACAATTGCGGCAGCACAATTTCACCCAAAATGCTTAATTCAGACTGTGCTATGATTTTCAAATATTTTCTAACGCTGAAACAATCAGTCACAATTCCGGACACCCAATTTCACCCACAATGCTTAACTCAACCAGGGCTACGATTTTAATTTTACCCATCAGTGAAACCCCAGTCACAATTCCGGCAACACAATTTCACCCACAATGCTTAACACAACCAGTGCTACGATTTTCAACTATCCCCAACGCTGAAACCGTAGGTCACAATTCCGGCAACCCAATTTCACCCACAATGCTTAACTCAACCAGTGCTACGATTTTCAACTATTCCCAAGGCTGAAACCCTAGGTCACAATTCCGGCCACCAAATTTCACCCATAATGCTTAATTCAGACTGTGCTATGATTTTCAAAAATTGTCTAACGCTGAAAAAATCCGTCACAATTCCGGCTACACAATTTCAGTAACAATGATTAACTCAACCAGTGCAACTATTTTCAACTCTTCCCAACGCTGAGGCCAAAGTCACAATTCCGGCAACCCAATTTCACCCACAATGATTAATTCAGACCGTGCTAGGATTTTAAACTATTCCCAACGCGGAAACACACAGTCAGAATTCCGGCAACACAATTTCACCCACA